AAATGAGCAAACGCCTTCGCCGGGAATCGAACCACGGACCTCCGGAATACTGGCCTAGCGTGCAGACCACTACACTACGAAGGCACGCTAGGAAAGCGGGAAATACCTTATATACTCCCCTTTTTAAAGGGCGACTGGGTTTTTTAGGGGACCCAATCGCCAAATCCTGGGTGAGGAGAATCATCATCGAACACACGTTTCTTAGTTCAGGCGCCACTGTAGAGACATTAGGATATTTTTGGAAGCAGGCATGATGAAAAAGGAGCAAACGCCTTCGTCGAGAATCGAACCACGGACCTGTGGAATACCATCCCAGCGTGCAGACCACTACACTACGAAGGCACGCTAGGAAAGCGGGGAAAATACCTTATATACTCCCCTTTTTAAAGGGCGACTGGGTTTTTTAGGGGACCCAATCGCCAAATCCTGGGTGAGGAGAATCATCATCGAACACACTTTTTTTAGTTCAGGCGCCACTGTAGAGACATTAGGATATTTTTTAAAGCAGGCATGAGAAAAAATGAGCAAACGCCTTCGCCGAGAATCGAACCACGGACCTGTGGAATACCGTCCCAGCGTGCAGACCACTACACCACGAAGGCACGCTAGGAAAGCGGGAGAAATACATTACAGTGTAGTCTTTAAAAATGTGAAATAAAAAAAAATTTAGATTTTTAGACAAAATCGACCTTTTGAGCGAGGTCGGTTACGAAGCAAACAAAAAGCTAGAAAATCGCTAACAAGTTTACTCTGAAACAGTGCGAGTAAGTGCTGGTGCCTGCTTAGCGAAACGCGTTGGCTTGGATGAAGAGTGCTTTTCCTGCTGATGCTATATGGCAGGGATTGCCAAACTTAAAGCCGATGGCAGTCGCATGGTAGATTTTATGAACGTTCCGAGAGCCGCAAGTCCAAATTTATATCGTTTAAAAAATAACGAAGCAGGTTTGGAATACAAAAAAACTTTCGAAGTAAATTAATGAATATATGTTTAACATAATTACATATAAATATGAATAAATACATCTTATATCTACTGTTTTATGTGCAGAAAAGATAAAGCCAAAGAAAATAAAAAAAATTGTAACGCTTGCACTGAGCAACTGAGCGTTTTTTCTTCAGGTAAAGAAACCAACTATTTTCTTCTGATTTCCTCTATACCTCTCCGTTTATAATTATTGTCTTATTTTAGTAGATGTAAAATGAGTTGGAAGCGTCTTCTTTGGCCTACGATTACATAAAAATTTTATTTGAGTAAATTAAAAATCATTATTTAAAAGAAAGCTGAGCGTTTTTTTTAAATAATGATTAAAACATTTAATTTAATTTTTTAAACTTTTCCGTTTAGAAAGGAAAGTTTAAACGTCAACGCACACTGAAGAGAAATTGCTAATCGAGGAAAAATATGTATTTTAAAATAAGTCATTAACTTGTTTAGGCTTTTGCTTAAAAAGCAATTTTGTTTCTCCACGCAATTAACATAAGGAACAACCTAATGAGAACATTCGAATCTTTGGATGTAACCTAAGAAATCATTAAATTTTTTTTCCAAGTGATTTGCAGAGTATAGAAAAATTTGCCATTCAGTATCTATGACAACGGCTATGACTGATACAGTATTTCAGCCTGGTATTGCAGGGAATCTGCCAGAATTGTTTAGTAATCATTACACTACGCATCATTGAAAATTCTCAAAACTATCTCCCGAATCGTCCCGATAATTTTGGACATAGATAATGAAGTTCATGCGCATCATTGAAAATCCCTGAAACTACCGCTCAAATTGTCCTGATAATTTTGGATATAGATAACGAAGCTCATGCTCATCATTGAAAATTTATCAGGTTCAGTGTTTCTCCTTACTTGCTTGGGGAACATTGAAGAACCTGACTCGGAACAGGGAGCTTACTAAAGCTATGTTCAATAAATGTAGGAAGTAGACAAGATACACAGGAAGGGTATACGAAACCCTTTATTTTTCACTCTTTACAATATTTCCGTACTTCGGAATACAGAGACCAACTACTTGTGGTCTGAACGTAAGAATATAAAAATATTTAACTAAACTCTAACTTAACTTTGGAATAATAAACAAGGGCCTACGTGGAAGATTGGCCGTATATTAACAGGAAGCCGTATGTAGTACAGAGAACTGTTAATACTACAATACGTTTAAAATTATTAAGAGGATTAAACCTCTGGCCTGGAAGGCAACCAGCAACCGAGTAAAACTGCTAAGGTAAGCGGCCTGCTTCGACTAACTCCTTCCTCTCTCTCGCTTGGCAAAAAGCCACAACTTAAGGACTTGGCGTTCGCCAGACAAATTTGCATAAATAAGTTAAAGCTTTTAATTCTGGCCGGAAGTAGAAAATAAGAAGTGATAGTAAAGATTTAAAATAAAAATAAACGTTAGTAAAACTTAAGATCCTTACAAATTCTCGAAACCATGTCTTGAATCATTAAAAAAATTTTGGACATACATAATCTATTATTAATAAATCTAGTAATTCATGCAGGGCTATGTAAACGCTTCGTAGAGTACATATTTCATCTGCTTACGGGGCGAACTCTTCAATCTAGCTGTTTAAACGTTCAGTTGTTTTTCAAATACATGGAAAATGAAAAATAATGTTTCAGGAAGAAATCATACCTCTAACTACTATAATGAAATTATTTCACAAATTATGCAAATGTTCATATAACATGAACCCGTACCGCTTTATATATCTATGGACATGCATAGATGTTCGATGTGGAGGCCTTTTGCAACGCGACAGAAGTCTTCACAATAGTTTAGTTCCTAAGCTCTTGCCAAATAGTACGGATCCATCCTATTTTAAATATTGCACCCATAAAGGCGATCAAATGGCTTACCCTCTCGTCTTGAATTTCTAAGTAAAATAACTCAGAAGAAAGTTTTAAATAAATTATTGTCAGCCTAACGGTCTTGCATTACCTAACCTGTGTAGGGAAAATAAATCTCAAACTGAGTTTGAAATGGAGTCTGTAGGCAGAGGATATTTGAAAAAATAAAAGATCAGACTTTAAAATCGAACGTTTACGAGAGCGAAATTGCACATGATTGCCTGAAATTTGTGGTGATCAAGCAGTGGAATAAAAGACGTGTAACCAGAGCCGGGGCAGCTGCAGAGCGGCAGTGCTAAGGGGTGAAACGTTTTAGATATGCCGGACAGCAAAATGTCTCTAACCTAGTGCGAGGTAGAAATAAAGAAGGTCATCAAACAAGAAATCGATAAGTACAAGAAAATACCACAAACTAAAGAGATTTTACCAATATCAGTATGCCGATTTTGACAAAGCTTTGGAGAAGAGAGACATTAGTGTTCTGTTGATCTCACATTACTCGAAACAACGTTATTATATGATAAGAAGATTTGATGATTAAGGTCAAAGAGATGTATCTGGAATAGAATATTTGATGAAATGGGAATCAAGCATTTTGGCTAAAATTTAAATCGTTTTCAAACCAGTGATTCTTCACACGACTTCAAATATTTCAGCATGCACAACCATTGGTGAAATAAATTTTGATCTCTGCCTAGGATTACGAAGAAATTATTACTGAAGATAGAATTTCATGTGGGAAAAGTGTTCATCAAGCATATTATTGTGAATGGTTAAGAAATCTGTGAAGCAACTGCATAAAAAGGCTTGACTTGCTTAGGGATAGGAAATAATTTTGAAAAAATTTCTGAGAAAATTGAGACAACCAAGTGAGAGGTCCTAACCAAGTAAGAGGATGAAGGTTCACTCCAAAAATGAAATCCTCGTAAAATTCTTTCACAGATTAAAAGAGATCTGTATGGATAGCAGAGTGAAACAGATTTCTTCAGCCATTCAAGGAATGAAGAAGAGTAACCTAAAACGGAAAGCAAACCTTCCAGGTGAATCACAACTGTTGTGAACAATCGGATCACACAGGAATGTAAGAAGATACTGCCTGAAGTAAAATTAACTTGTGAGAAAAAATATTAAGGAGAACAATTAAATAAAAATATTAACATTGCGGTTCAGATTAACTTCATATTGATGTATTCCGATGGCCATTACCTGTTCAAAAAGTTGCAAAAACGGAACAGTAATTACAAGAAATGAAATTATTTGTAATTTCACATATTTGTTGCTCTCACGATAAGCCAGCAGTGGACAGTTTGATACCTATCAAATGTTTACATACATAATATCAGAAATTAAATTAGCGATTAATAAAGAAGCCTGGCACTGCATGAGTTCTATTTCAAATTGCATTTGTATTAAAAAATTAAACTAGTATATTTATTCAAAACAAGTCGCAGTTCAGATGGCAAAAGACCGCAAGTACCTCGCAAGCCGCAGTTATGGTGTCGAAGAGCCACAGTTTGGTCATGTCTGCTATATGATCTCTCTATACGCATCACTACAGGAAACTCTGCAAACAAAAATGTTATCGATATAACTGCACCTGGTCAAAACTCATATATATCCCCCTATTTTACAAAAAGTTGAGAGTGGGAATTCTTATACAAGAACATCAAATAGAATGATAATGCAACCGGGATGAATACAACAAAATTCAATTCTTGTCTTTATTTCTGGTTAGAAGAAAAACACTGCATCGTGGTAAGTCAGTAAAACAATGATTTGTCACATTAATAATTCACACGAAGGATCGCACAAATTGTGCGTTCAGTGAACATACAATTTTATTTAAACCGTTTTTGATTTCTGAAACTATCCTACATTTTAAACCCTAATACCAAATTATAGTACATTTCATAAGTCCTGGCAAAATGGTAGCTTACGTTTCTAAATGACATGATGTTTAAACTACTCATTAACATACAATAATCTGAAAAGAACTGCAAGGTTTTCCTGATTGGTTATTAGTAAATTATATGCAAAAGCGAGAATGGATAAATGTCTTAAAATCTGTTTTCCTTCTTTTCTGTGATGCGCTTTGAAATAAACTCTTTTGAGGAATCTTGAGTTTTCTTACTTTGACAATGGAGGACGCTACAAAAGGGTACATTACAAGTTCTGATGACGAAAGTTTCTATTGTTGTAATGTAGAGTCTTCAAATAGTTCTGATGACGAAAGTTTCTACTGTTGTAATGTTTCGTCTTCAAATAGTTCTGATGACGAAAGTTTCAGTTCTTTAGATGTAGATGTAGATGTTTCAAGTAGTTCCAACCTTGCAGTTTCATTTGCAGAGTTCTATTTTTCCGAGAGAATGGATTCTTCTCATTTGGAATGTTCTTCGGGAGAGAAAATCGCAACAGATGAAACACCGAGTCGTCCGCTTGAAAATATATCAAACGTTGAAGGGGTATTTTCAGAAAGAAAAAATGTTTCTAAATCTTCTGATGGCGAATTTTGTTCTGAAGAGAAAACTGCAGGAAATGAAACAACTTCTTCGATTGAACTTATATCTGACGAAGAACCATCTTCAGAGACAAATGTTGTTAAATTGGCTTCTGAAGAGAAAACGTTCAGTGAAACTCCAAGGTTTTCGATTGATATTGGATTTGACGTTCCAGGGGTGTTTTCAGAAAGGAATAATGTTTCTAAATTATCTTCTGATGACGAATTTTGCTCTGAACAAAAAACTGCAGGAAATGAAACGTTAAGTTCATCGACTGAAGTTATATCTGGCGAAGAACCATCTTCAGGAGAAAATGTTGTTAAATTGCCTTCGGAAGAGAATACTGTAAGTGAAACTTCAAAGATTTCGACTGAAATTGCATCTAACGTTGAAGAAACGCCTTCAGAGAGCTCTATTGTTGAATCGCCCGATCCTGTTCAAAAGGGCAGAGAAAGTTTTGAACATTTGGATTTCAAAATAGAGATAACAGAAGATTTAATTTCATCGCTGATGAAGCGTTTCAAGGAAAATCAGTATATTCCTTCTTCTGCATATGGGGTATGTTAATGTAATTTTCAAATCTTGTTTGTTTTTAGTATTTACTTTGAGTTTCAGTCGAATTATATTTGCATTGGAAACATGAAAGCTAAAAATGCTCGGTATTTTTCTCTTTTTGCATTGTCTTTCAACCAGCTGTAAATTAGACTAAAGATAGTTTCATGTTCCCTTATTCTTAAAAATAAGTCCCTCATATGACATACGTTATTTGGCACTCGAGTATTATCACAATCGCATTAGACTTTGCCAAAGTTTCAGAAGTCGCCAAACTCTGGCAACCATGCGCATAATAGCTCTTTAGGTGCCCATATCCATTCTAGGTTTCAATCCGAATATTCATCCACTTATTTTTTCTTTTGCAAAAAACCGCCAAACTGCGCCAAAGTTAATCCACTAGTACATAAGTACCTGCATCTTTTATTTGAAGTGCCTAAAACTTGCAAATTCTGAAATCTTTGGTTTCAGCAGCAGTCTTGCTTAACAATCTGTATTAAAAGACTGCTCAAAATTACAAATTCCGTTTGTCCTTGTTTCATTACACCGTCTACGTAGTATTAAATACGTCGAAGTTGTTAAACGTATCTGCCAGAGCTTTCATAATGTTGAAAGAATCAGGTTCTGTATTGGAATGCTGGGAGTTAAAACGCGAGCTTTAGACTAAACTCTTTTGTTTCATTAGCTCATTATTTATGAAAACCGAATTATATCGTGTTTATGCTCATTTTAAATTTAAGTTGTCGGCGAAGAATGTTAACGTTTGTTAAGTCGGTGAAATCAATTGAAAAATACTGCATATCTTTAGCCCTTCTTTGTTCCAAAATCAAATACGGGACATTGGACATTTCCTGTCTAAAAAGTCAAATTACATTTTAATACACCAAATTCGTATTCTACACCTAAAGTTCTCTTAACATTTTAGTTTATTATCAGTTCCTGAATGCTAAGAATAACTAAGTATTAGATGTTCTACCCCCAATAAACTTAATCCAGTGGTATACACAATATACGTACGTGCATTGCTGCAAGAAATCCGTGCAGTAATTATTACATTGATGTTGGGATTTCAAAGCAAAACCTCAAAAGCATCGCAATTTAAGCTTCTAAAATTAATGTGCTTTACTGAACCATGCTAACGTATAGAAGTATGAAATTAGGTATTTCATTAATGGAAATCTTATGTCGACGGATTTAATTTCAGTAATTGCTTTCGATACTTTTCTCCCGACTGAGAGAAAATCTTTGAAAACATTTTCCCTAATAATCCCTCGATACGTGTACAAAACCAAATATAAATTAATTCCGGTCTTAAAAAATTCGCGCAATTTAAAAAGTAGTTGTCTAAACTAATCTTCAATTCTTGAGTTATGAAGAGGTGCAATACATGAAAGTAGAATAGTATGTTAATTTTCTTGCAGGAGGATTGTGACATAAGTTCAACCTGCATATATCTCTTCAAGAAAAGCTACAAGTGCGAAGTAAACGCAATTTTCTTCATTTCTGCGTTCTTGAATCACTTAAAACTAAATATGTAATGTTGTGAAATTTTGCCTAAGCAAAATTCATGCATGGCCTTATTTCAGACGATTCGTAACGATGTTGGAAAGTTATGCTATAACTACCCAGGCACAATCCTCTTGCCAATGAAGGAGAAAAAAGCTAAGGAGGAAGAATATCCTGTCAACGAAACGTAAGTGGATCATATTGAAGCCATTTATTTGATTTTTAATAGATATTTTACTTAATGATTCTGAAATGCGTTGGGAAAGAATCTCACTGCCACCTATTGGGTGCCGAAGGCTCTGGTCAATGTCTTATATTCCTTTACCACGATAAATTTCTCGGACTTACGTACGCGTCTTGTATTCTTTACCACGATAAATTTCTTGGACTTGTTCTGATTAGGTTCAGACTAGTGGGATTAATCGTAACATTTCTAGTGCGCAGTACCATATTATTTTTCACTTGCACACTTAAATGTTTACTTGTTTAAATAACGAAGTGTTAAGTCTCATGCTACTGAATTCAAAGCTATTGGCTGCATATTTTAAAGCTTCACTTTCTGCTGGTACTCCACTTCTACGATAACCACTAAAGATCACTTGCGCCTTTTTTACGGAAAAAAAATAAACAGTGTTGATATAAACACCACACCCGGAAGCGAAAAGTCCAAATTGACGATAAGTAGACATTTTAAATTTTTAGAGTCCATGCAAAAGCAGAAATTCGAGCAGCGAGGTTACCACTCGCCATTTAAGAATCGTAGAATTGTGTGTTGCTCCGTACCGCTGGGCTGTTATTTACTGCCTTCTGAAGCTGACAGAAAACAAGTCTTTCATCGCTTCATCGGTTGGACTTTGCTACAAAGTTTCTGCCTTTCCTGGAAACCGAAACGTTGTTTTTCAACTGGGGATTTCGCATTCTGAAGTTTCTCAACCTGCTGAATCGTCGTTTCAAGTAATTTCCGTATGTTTTTATCTAAAATCTAGCTTAATGCGTCATTCAGCGTATCTTTAACGTTTCGCTGTAAAATGTTTTCTTTACTTATACTGAGTTTTCTTTTGATTTAATAAGATCCGAGATCACTTTAAATTGTTCTGCAGAAAGCTGCTTTAGTACATATAGCCATGCTGATCCATAACCAAAGTATACCCTCCTTCAAAACTGCGATTATGTTCTCGATTAGCTTCTACTAACGAGTGTTAATATGTTCGCAGTTAATACTAAACACATTTTGCGTTTAATTACTTTCCTTCTCTTAATATTAAGCTTAAATTTATTGAAAAATCAGTCTTAAGATTTGGATTGTTTTTGCCTTTTGTAATGGCGCGAACTTGAATATAACGGCTTTGGCCACTCCTAAGGCCAGAATGGTGGGTATTTTATTATGGAGGCATGGATTAGACGGTCTTGGCTACCTTTTATGAAGGGTCGGGTAGTTTTACATCAGTGCCTTATCCGGTATTCGAACCCGGCCACTTCCGTTTCGCAGTCACTCCCCTAGTCGCTAACCAATACCGTCTGGGCGGCAATTGCAATTTTTATTTAGTTTCAGCTGCGGATGAATCGCCAGCGTGGCAAAAATGAGAGCCAAGTATTCAGCTTTGGCCCACCAGCGGCCGAGCGGTGAAAGCCTTCGCTCCGAGGTTCGAATCCCGGCGAACGGGCTGGTTGAATGAGCGTTTCCGGGGTTTTCCCCACGTGTAACTTGAATACGAGCCAGTTTCCCTTTAAGACCTCTATGGGGCATTCCTCCTTTTCCGTGTAGTGCCTAAGGGAGGAGCACGTAGTAAGTAAAAACAAATTCAGCCTTGCTAACGTTTTATGAATATTGCTTGTCCTCCATATACTTACAGATGAGAAATTCTTTTTAAAATGTTCCATTTTAACGAAAATTGTTAATGCTTGCAAACTTTCCAAAAAATCTGTTTCATATCCTTTCCCGTTACCTAAAAGCTTCAGAAACCTACTCGTGGTAACTTCGCGCTTCCAATAAGTAAACTTTCTTACGACTCTCTCGACCATTGCAAGTTTCGTAAACCTAAAATCTCAAATTGCTTCGATAAATGAACAAATTAAAATCGACTCGATATAAGAATTTTTTATTGACGTTACGTTAAATGAGTACATGTTAAATTTAATCATAGCCAATAATCGGCTATAATGTGTAAATCTTTTTGAAAAATCCAAGAAAAAGATCTTTATGTACTTTCAGTTTCCTGAACTTCTTGTGAAATGTTTCTCTACAGAAATTGTGTATAGAACGTCTTTATAGTATCTTGTATAAATCTGTATTATACGCTCCAAAAGAATTTCCTTCCTTAGGTTTTTGAGGTCTAATTCTGTGTCAATATATCAAGTTATCCGCGTAGTTTTAGATTAAAGGACGTCTGATCTAGCCAAAATTCCAATTCATTCCAAGCATCTTTCAAACTACGCTTATGAAATTTATTTTCGCATAGTTAACGTGCAAATCTACATAGAATGACGCTGGTTGTCCGCTATCCTTAACGGTATATAGAAATTATTTCCAAATAAACCTTATTTCGTAGCTGAATTTCTTTTTAAAATTGTTTCGTAAATGATGCTGGGAGTTTTCGCCTCACTTTGGCTTATTTTACTCTCTTTTCGTTGCATTTAAATTTGCAGAGATAAGTAAACATTCCCATCGTTAAATATGGTCTTCAAAGATGTATAACAATTCACAGTAACCAGCTATTCAGTTTCTGAAAGCTCACTCAGCTTCTAAAACTATTTTTTTGCCCATGTGAAAGCATACTTATGTACCTACATTATAATTTAGGACACGTACATAAACGTCAGCAACTCCTGTTGCATGAATTGCTATCCTCATCGTTTTCTGGAACCCGAGTGTTTATTTTTGCTTTTTATCTCGCGTGTTTAACGGCTGAAAGGTCAAGTCTTTGACACGAGCCACCTTCCCTCAGAAAATTCTTCACGAAGGCATCCCTCCCCCTTGGCCAGATAGTCCGAGTCTTTGCCGTAATCGCGTAGACCAAACCAACTCGGGTGTTTTAAGTGTTTCATTATGTTCACCAAATCCAAAGTTTCTTATATACATTAAGTTGGCTTTAATTTTATTCCTGCAAAAGACATTTTACATCTGTTAAACTACAGTTCGTATAACTTGAGCGAATCAAATGAAATAGCTTATATTCCTTTTTGTTCAGTAAAAGTTGAATTTGTATCCTTTAGCTGCTATATGAAATACGTTGCTTTAATTCGGAAAACTGAAGTTGGTTTGTTAAGCCAAATAAAATACTTCGTTTGATTTAATCTAAAAGTGTACTGTTTATAATAACAGAAAATTACTGTAAAAACTGTTGGAGTAACTGTGCAAAATCATTAATCCAAGCGGTTGCGTAATTTATAAATGGGTAAGTGTTTATCGTCAATTAAATATAACAAAATTCGCGTAGTAATTAGATTGAAAATGTTTATGTATTAAACGAATGTATTTAAACTGAAAAAAACTAAATTATTAGTAATTGGTATACTTGTACAATCTTGCTCGCGTTTCACTACCTCTGCGAGTGTCATGAGAATTTCGTGTGTCCATCAGGGGCCGAGATGTAAAATCGCTCAATACTTATAATTCCCACTTGGGTTGGATTCCAGGAAAACGGGCTGGCTCCATGGGCCTCTTCGTGGGACGTGTATACGAGCCAGTTTCCCTCGGAAAATCCTCCACTAAAGTATCGCTTTCCTTAGGAACATGGGTATATGTAGTGACCTTTGCCATAATCTCAATTAACCAAACCTCATCAGATTCTTCCAAAAGCTTTCTCGGTTACGTAACTAATTTTACTGCATTTTGTGAAGTCTTTAAGATAATTCGGCCTTGTACTTTACACTGAAAGGTGTTGAACGCAGTGCGAACTTGCCCCAATATGTCTTTCCTAAAATAAGTAATCCTGAAACTTCATTTACGCAATTTGCTAAAGGACTTTGAAAGATGCACCATCAGTGTAGTAGTGCACAGCGTATTGGCTTCTTTATTCTAAATTATTTACTACTCGAATATGGCCCACCAGCGGCCGAGCGGTAAAGACGCTGAATACTGGTAGTTCGGTCTGAGGTTCGAATCCCGGGAACAGACTGGCTGCATGGACGTTTTCGTGATTTTCCTTCTGTGTAACGTATATACGAGTCAATTTCCCTTAAGTCCTCCATGAAGGTTCCCTTGGGCAGGTAGCCCTCGAGTGCTCCTCAGTAATCAAGCGAAACTATCCTACTCGGATATGTTGGAAATTTTCCACGAAGTTTTCCCTCTCAAAGGCAGCTAGTTCTCGCGTGCTTTGCCACAATCTCATAACCTAACTTATCTCAATTCGTATGTTTACGGGTTCAGTTCCTGCACTTTTTATGCTACGCAACTGACAAGCAGTATATACCCGGATATAAGAATCCGGTATTTCAAACTAGCAGTAACCCCAGTTACTTTGCATATTGAGTTCTAGTGTGTATTCGACTTGTAATTTCAATTCATTAACTTGTGTTTAACTTCCAGATCCTGCTCTTCGAAGTTAGACCCTAAAGAATACTTGAAGCGGATTGAAAAATGCCGTTACAGTCGAGTAAGAAGGCGATTTGCTGTTCCGGTCATCCTGATCGACGGAAAAGTACGTTTTTTAGTAAGAAATTTAAATCGTGCAGTACATTCCAGTTTAACAATTTTAAAGGAAACTTAATTCATTGCAAGTACTCCATCTCTAGATTATTACACCATCGTAAAATTAAATCTTGCCAACACAGCGGGACTTTTCACCTATCTACAGAGTTCAAATTGCCCCGAAGGCCATCGGAGCCCAAAATGAAAGGGCTCTGGCACTTTTCTGTAAGTGAACCCCTATTTCGACAGACAAATTTTAAGTCATTAACTGCGAAATCTTTTCTCTCGATTTACATTTACTTCTGGGTGTCTAGATTGATACAAACTGCAAAATGAAATATGGATGCAATTTGCCATGAGCCCCAAATGGGAATGGTCATTTCAAGTAGCCCTCACCGTAAATTAAAATTCAAATTGTCAATAAATAGTTAATAAATGTATTCTAAAACTATTGGAAGACGGCAGTACACGAGAGTTGGAAATGATATACATTATATGACATACCGTATTTTGAAAGTGTTTAGGTCCTGAAATCGAAAAAATTTTACTTGTCAAATAACTCTCCAGCTCGCTCATTTAACAATTACTACTCAACAGCTCGTGCAAAAGATTAAGAAATATTTCAGCAATGTAAAAAAGTAACCATTGTTCCATTGTAGTAATTAGTTACCAAATTTACGCTACCAAGACGAATCCCCAAATGTGTCTCATGGTACTTAATAGGTTAATAGTAAATGCCTTAAAAGTCTGTTGCAACTTATAAATGTAAGGCTCGGTCGCAAACCCTGGATGATGGTTGACGCTTTTCCTTAACCCAAAGACTTATTCTCAGGAAGTGCATAGAATTTGACGGTGTATAAATTTTTCATTCATAAAAAATTAAAAGCGATAATCTGATCAGTCACTTGCCGCGCTAGTGTCTTCTTAGTGAAGACTTTTGAACGATGTAACCAAACACTGGGTTCTCTGTCCTCTTGTCTCTGTCCTGTCAACGCTTATTATCACGTCGTTATGGAATCAAATTCAGGGAAAATTTCTGCTTTACAGTTAAAATTATATCGATAGGCCATAGCGATCAGAAAGTCTTCTTTCCTTTGTTTCCAAAGCTACACGTAGCGGCTGAACGGTGAAGTCTCTGAACACTGGTAGTTCGTCCCGCGAACGAGCTGGCTGCATGGGCGTTTTTGTGGTTTTCTCCGTATGTAACATGTATACGAGCAAGTTTCCACGAAGTCTTCCACGAAGGCACCCCCCTTAGGCAGATAGCCCTAGTGTGCTTTGCCATAATTAAACCAAACCAACCAAACCAACCAATCCAAAGCTACGCTTTTCTGTTAAAATTTCCTTCGATAGAGTAATGCTGTTTCTAGAATTTACTATTCTTTTTACTGATGTTTTAATCGCTATATCTCTTTTCATTTCTCTGCTACAAGATTTTACATTTTTAATACCTTTAAAATGCTTATAACCAGGGCTTAAATTCTATGGGCATCAGCTGAACTTTTTAGCTTCTCAGTTTAATTGTAATTCCAACCGGAGCCCCAAATAAGATGAGTTCCAATAATTTAATTATTTGTATTTTAATTTCTATTTCTCTTTACATTTCTTTTTATTTTGCTTTAATTTAATTTTCAATTTCAGTTATTTTCTTTCCTGGTGGTCTTTTATAAGACTCCGGCACTTCTAGCTTTAATTAGAATTTGATTTTCTAGATATTAAGCCCTGCTCAAGAACGATCTTAAGAAAAATCGCTTGATTTTTTAAGACATTGTAAGATTAACTTTTTTAGACATTTGGCGGTATAAATTTCATTAGACACAGAACGAGCGTTGGGAGTTTGCTTAAGGCATATCGCTACACTAGCTGTTTACCCGTTTTTGGACGATTTTCATTGCAATAGCGGAAATATTTTACGTAACATTTTGTTTTAAATAACGCTTATTCTATCTAAACAATAAAGCCTTTTGTAGTATCAGAAGAGGTATATTATTCCTCTACTCTTGAACAGCTTTTCAAAATCCAAGTATGTCTTAGTTCGACGCTTATTAAACAGGTTGTCCAAAACACCAAAAGCGCAAATATACATTAATGATAGATCAGGAGATTTAATAGGGATAAAAGTGAAAGGTATGGCCTTGGTACCATTTTCTTGTTCCTTTTTTCCCCAGAAAATTGGCCTTGGAGTTTAATGTTCGCCGCTTGCTGTGTCTTCATGCATGTCTACTGTTTAGTCACTGTGTAAAGAAATTATTTCACATTTGAAAATTGGCTATAAATTTGTTTGACAACATGTGCAGTTAATCTTGACATTTTCCTGCACTCTCATGATTTTTAATTTGCAGTTTTATGGAAAACCAGCAGCGATCGTAAATCCCTCTTAAAACTTTCTTTAGATTCTTTGAACCGTGTTTTTATTGATAATACGTGGATCTTTTTTGGCAGTCATTTAAGTACACCCAAGACTTTTATGACAACACTTTCCTATTTTTGTCCGTATAAAGGTTTCTCCCTGAGAATTCTGTAGCGCGGTAAGTTGCGGAGAGAGAAGATTCACTCTTTTCCCCTTTTAAAGATTCAGTCAGCATTAATCGCTGTTAATTACCATACCTTTAGATATCGAAAAATCGGTACCAGATTCGGAAATATATGTATGCACAAGTATATGTACTTATAAATGCGTGTACACACACGCGTACTTAAGTATGCACATAAATTTCTGAATCCGGCACTGTTAACAGAATACCTGGAAAACTATGGCTTTCATAACGTTTTTAATAACTAAAGAATTTTCTTCAGAAACGGTACAAACATAGCGTTCCATCCACTACTTCTTTAAAAGCGACATTTTTCATGAAAACAAAACTGAAGTAGTAGACTATAAGTTACTTTCAAAAATATAGTTGCACTAAAAACATTCGAAGCATACCACTTTTGACAGCGAAGCAAAATGATCTAAAAATGTACCAAACGCCTGTGTATATTAATAACCGTTTGCATTCTAGAATTGACGTGCCATGAATAAAAATCTTCCATTTTTGTATGAAGTACCCCTTCCCGCCATATTAAGTGAATTGCTGAGTCATAAAATGTACAGGTTCCAACCTTTTTAAAGTTTAGCACTGATTTCGTGGAGTCTGAAAGCAACTGTTTCCTGCCTTTGTACACCCCCTATTGGAAGATTTTTCCCTCTAAATTAGCCTTTCTGAAAACATGTTCGATTAAATACTCGATGGAAATGTTCATGGCTAATAATACCTCTAAGTTTTAAATAACCTTGTATTTGTCGTTTGTTACTAATTGCATCGAAATTTCATGATATTTTACCTCTTGTCGTCCAGGATGGTTAACTTTAAAATGTCTTTTAGGCTTTATTCATTTGAACTACTTAAAAATTTCCTTCGGAAGGGATACGGCTATTTAGATATAATTAGTCGTATTTAAATAAACTCATTCCGAATTTTTCTTAAAGTGAAGTCAAGGTTCTATGAATGACAGCTCGACATCTGTGTTCAAATAATTGAGCTTGCTGAATTTCCCATATAAACCTAGCTCATAACATAAACGCACAGTAAACACTTCTTAGTTGATTATACATGAATCTTAAATTTTTACTTTATACAATTCTGGTAATTCCCTGAAAGCTCAATTAAAATTCGAATGCAACTTAAGTGTATTAAATAAACGATTATAATTTTCAATAAAGGTGTCATGGTCTTGTATATGTACAGAGTTCTTTCACTATGGCTTAAAATCTATTAAACAGTGTCGGTGTTGACGCTAATGTGCTGGTTACTTAGCAAATCTCCATTAAGTAACTTCCTCCTAAAAGTGAAATGAAGTTTTCCGTATGTTATCTGGGTAATGTGAACATTAACGGCTTCCGTATCGTTAAAGTTCAAAAGTTTGTTTCTGTAATTTTCTTCCCCTCCCTCCACTTTGCACATTACCTACTAGGCACTCGCTGATCTAGCTAGTTCAAGTTTACTAGGCGCTCGTTAAATTGAAAACAAGATCTTTCGTGGATTAGCAACAACAGTTTCTGTACCCTTAACGTAATTTTATTTATTCTTCATACCTAAGAAATCAAGTTAATACAATTAACAAATTAGTTGATAGAATGAATGAGCGATCCAATTATACTAGGATGCGGTATAATAACTGTTTAAAATAAAAAACTGTTTAAAATAAAAAACTGTTTAAAATAAAAAACTGTTTAAAAATATAGAAAACTGTTTAGAAATTTTAAAATCCTGTTTAAAATATTAGAAATTTTTTAAAAAATTTTTTAAAACTGTTTAAAAAAAAAACTGTTTAAAATATTAGAATTTAAACTGTCATTCATAGTTTAAAATATTAGAATTAAGGAAATTTACGAAACATAAGCAAATTGCGCACTTATTACTATCTTAAGATTGCTGATAATTTGAATTTCATAGCAACTGGATTTTTTAAAAGCACACCTATTTGTGGTACATTTAGATTTGAAGTAACATTTTCTGAAACCCTTTCCCATGAACATTTTAAAAAGTGGTGGCTGTTTTAAGTGCACAGAAACGTTGCTGTTTTTCGAATAAAAATCTTATTTTCACTTTCACAAGTGCGTAGTAGGTAATGTGAAAATTGTCTAGGTAATATGAGAACTTTCCGCATTTTTAAGGGATCGCCCTAAACTCCAGAATAACCTATTTCTGCACTTTCAGCGTTAACGTCAATATTTATACAGCCTTTCTTTTGTCGGGCGAACACCGACTCAAACATAGAACAGGTCGTCATACCACCGACTCAAAGTTTAGAAATGTCTGAAGATATTTCTTGCAAGAACTTGAAAAAATTTCAGTCCATTTGATTTATTTCGTTGTCCAGTTTGAAGTTGATTACAAATGTGCAATGATGTTTATATCCATACTATTTACTACATGTAACATTACTGCAATATAGGATTTCTGTATGGTTACTGGTTGCCTTGCATTCTAATTACTAATATTTGCATTGTGTTAACTCGATGAATCA